TATTCATTCTTTTCCTGCTTTGTGTGTCAACTGCCACGGTTTCTAAGCAACATAGCCTACGGTGGCAAAACCCGCCGAAGGGCAGACCGGTTTGAATTCACAGACAAAACTCTTCCGGTCTCCTTATTTTCACGGACTTCGAAGGATCCAGTCTAGGTAGACCGCGTCCTTGGAGGATGCAGCCCATGAATTCGAACAGAGCCATAGTGTTCAACATGGGACTTAAGGACTACCGTAGGATCTACAAAAACAAACCAAGGACACCTACCAGAGAATAGGAGAGTAGAAAAGTTGTGATTAAAATCAGCTACATCAGGCATTCTTAATAATAATTAAAAGCTCCTATATTGGTTTAAGTTTGAGTACAGAGTTGTCAGTAACACTGATGAGCTATAAAGCTGTTTAGATTTCAAAAATAACGTTGAAATACTGCAATGATTCACCTATGGACAATTTATTAATGACAGCAATGTTCTGGTGACAAAAAGCACAACATGTTATCTGCAGCTGCAATTGGAAGTTTATAGGACAAGCTTAAATAAAACCCCAGTTGGCTCTGTGAGTCACAGTAGTAGCAGGTACATGAGCAGCTGTTATTAACCTTTTGCCTTGATCATTGTGTAGCTGCATTGATTTTATTTTATTTTTTGCCAAGGTCTAGAGGGATAATAGACTTTAAAGTTGAACCAATGGGATTCTATCTGATAACAGTGATAACATAGTTTATAAAGAACAGGAAGCCTAAAAAACGGATCTTTTGATGGTTGTGATTTGCCTGACATAACTTACAACAAGTTTGATTAATGGAAGATTGCCACAAGATGTGCCGTTTTATTCACCCCCATCATTTTTCATCTACTTGCCACTGACTCAGATTCACCTGAGCGTTCAACGAGGCCAGCATGCAACCCGTATCCTTATTAATCATCTACAAATTCTGCCATCCTCACAGACACCGAGCTGAGCCACCATGGTTCAGCTTAGGTTTCTTAACCAGGCATTCTCCAAAACATTCTCCACCTCATTAACATTACTCTATTAATGTTTGATTGAGGTTTATATGTCTCACTAGCAGTTTACTGCAATGTGTCGTTTGATCTTAGAGAGCATTGCAGAGGGAAACATATGAATATAAATGCCAGGGCTCTGTGGTTAGAGGGGGCTGTGTAATTGTATCTGACGCTTGGGTTGGCTATATCCCTAATTAATCTATGATTTCCCACATGCTTAAGGATTGCAAATTGAATACGTTCAGGCTTTGAGGTGTTCTTTACACTGGCTGCTTAGTTGGACTGAGAGACCGTCTTTATGGATCTAAGCTAATTATTCAGCCTGTGGATCCAGACTCTGGAAGGATGCCTCTGAATCTTGCCCTAGGCAGTATGAGTTGGTTTTTGTCTGTGTATTCCACATTGTAATTGCTTGAAGAATAAGTACAATGTGCTTGCATTTCACATCCTAATTCTGCATTTTTGTCTTGTGTTTTGACCTGATATGAATTATGAAAATATTTGTATTTTCAACATTCTGGTTGAACTCTTGGGATAAAACTTATGTTCTTTTTTTTAAGGAGCTGTAAGGTTCATAAGAGGGTACTTTCAAATGATTTTGAAGGGTTTTTTACGGGCAGAAGCAAATGATCTTTCAGATATTTCTTCATATTAATGTGGTCATAGAGAGATAAACATTGTTGTTGATCTTCCTCAGACCTTTTGTAGCAATGTGAGTTTAATTCAGAATAATGTCAAAACTGCAAATTTGTTGCTTTTTTGTGGCAGTTGTGATCTTTAAGCATCCCTGTTTTAGAAAAGGTTGTGAAAACAGGCTTGGCACATGTGATCAAACAAAATTATGTTAAATTAATTCAGTGCTGTAACAAACTGCAGGCTAAAACAACAAAAATTAAGATGGAAGAGTCCTTAGGGTGTTTAATCAAGAAATAAGAATTAGAATTAAAACACATTTCCTGACACACTGGGAGATGAAGCGTTCTCAGTAATAGGCATGATGCCACTGAATGCTAATTAATGGTACCTCAAAAATTTTAATGCATTACGGGACAGAATGATTAAAAGCTCTTTCAGTTCATTGAGTTGCTCTGAATTTTTTTGTTGATTTATAATGATGATTTCTATTTGTCCTCTGTGTTAAATAACTTGCTCTCAACTAGTGCAGTATTTGTAGAACTATTAAGCAGAGGAAAGTTCTATATCAAGAAAGTTTGATGTGAAATGAGAAATTATAGTATAGGGTCGTTGTTTCTGAAAATCCCTTCGACTGAAAATAAAGACACTCTCTGTCACTTTCCTTTTAGAACGTTGTTTAACTATTTTTATTTTAAGTTTAAAAGTACTTTAATAATTAGGCATTTGTCGTATGTAAAAGGGTAGATGCTATTACTTTCCTGATGACTTATAACCTATGTAGATGAGTGTTTATATATACAGTAAACACTCAACTATATATGCCTTTTTGTACATATGTAAATGAATGTTTTTTAAATAAAGACATTACACAAAGCCCTGAACTCAACTTCTATTGTTTGTAGTACATTTTAATCTATATCTCTGAGGGTTTTCAGCCTCTTTAACCTTCTATTAGTAATATTCTGGGAACCTCCTACAGTGAGGCACTTTAACTTGTCTTAAAATATAAATTTAGACTTAGAAATATGTGTATGTGAAAATGCATAATATGAATATGAAATCTAAATATGAACACTACACAATCAAACAACACATTGTTTGTTGCTATGGAAACATGGATGAATAACAATATAAAGCAGGCTTTTGCTGCTTTGGTTTATTGACTCAAATAATGTAGGTTTTACAGTTTGATCAAGGTTTAATCTAATTTAAGTCTAAACTCTAAACCTAGTTGATTATAAGAATGTTTAAATTACAGTAGACTATAAACCATTGGCTATGTTTTTAAAATTCTGGCTTAATGAAGTAATACATCTAAAACAAAAAGATAATGAATGCACACAGTTTGGGATTGGACAAAATCAGTGAAGACAGTACAATGAAGAGAAAAAAGTCAGTAATTAATAGTATATAGAGTTTTAGGAAAATGTGTCAAATAAGCTTTCTCATATGGGCTGCCACAATCAGAAATAGATATAACTGAAGTTTAGCACTTTGTCCCCAGTATGTTCACAAGTAAAGTGATATTACATAGCCCTTTGTGTGAGAGGTTTTCTACCAGTCGGGGTAAAAAGAAAAAAGGATCAGATTTGACTGTCCATATTTGCAAATAACTGTAATTGAATCTATAAAAACATCTCCAGCAATGGGGATTTCTTTATTGGTAAAATATGCATTGTCAAACTTTATAAATTTAGTCAATAAACTGCGTGTAATATTTGCTAAAATGCTTCGGATTTCATGACTTTAATGCGCATTAATTAGCTGTTTATTCCGCTCTGGACTTAATCTCCTCTTCGCTGTGGAGCTTGTTAGTCTTTGATGAATCCCTCTTGAGGTTTGAGCCTTTGTCTATTGAGGTAAGCAGCGAGAAAGTAGAGCCCTGAATGGATATGCAATTTCCAGTGACGCTAAACTTCTTAGGGGGTCTATGGAGCAGGGGCGGGTCATGAAGCTGGCTACTTGAACCTAATTGGTAAACATACTTAAGGATTTTTGACTGACAGCAGCCAGACAGTGAGAAGGTTTTCCTCATGAGTCGAATGGCAAAATTGATAATTCAGTCAGAACAGTCTGTAAATGGTTATTTTTAATTTTCTTGTTCTCATTAAGATTGTTTTGCTTTGAAAATTTGTTTTCCATTTTGTTAACCATTTCAGTAATAACCACTAAATAAATTAAAGCCTCCTGCTACACTAAGCCAACCTCGCCTACTGTAAGGGGGAGTATATGGGTTAGAATAGGGCAGTGGATGTGGTATGAAGATGTGTGTTTGTCATATAAATCCACATACAACTTCTTTAAATTCTATTTTATTTAATTCACCATTCATGAAAAAGTCTCACTGTCAGATTATCCTTTTCTTTGCTGGGCCTTGATACATCCTTCAAGTCTAGAACACAATTCTGCTATCCATCCTTCCATCCGTTTGTCCATCAGTCCATCCATCCATACCAATATTTTCTCTGAGTTCTAGTTCCCCGCAAAAGTCATCTCTTCATTGTTTTTGTTTATAAGCTGTTAGGATCATTTTTGCTGATGTGTGATTCTGTTAAACCCTAATATAGCCTGCCTGTTGTGTGTCAGAACTGATGTTTTCTTAAGTAGTTTATCTAATTGGGACAATTCCTCTGTCCGGATAAAAAGTCATCTTCATTCTGCATGTGGTAAAGATTTGGGAATAGAATCAGATTTTGATTTTAAAAACATAGTGTAATATTTTTGATAAGGCTGGAGCCATGGATGTCTTCTCATTCACAAACCCATATGTTGCAATGATGTGATGATGTGGTATGTTTGTATAAAATGCTTCTTTAACTCTGAATTAGGGCACTCCGACGAGATGTGAGCCAAGTTGGTTCGGCTGCCTGCTTTAACCCTTAGCAATTTCTCTGTCTGAGTCAATTATCTGTTGTCATGTCTCATGGTTTACATATACATTATGAGGTGTTATTTAAAATGTTTGTCTCGAGTGATCGCTCCTCAGGAAAAGAGCCTGAGAGAAAGCTTCAATGTGTAGACACATATATCCTTAACAAAACCTTCCAAAAGGCATCTTCACCAGATGGTTAAACCACATTTAATGAACCCAAACTACATGGAAAGAAAAAGGAATTGCATATTATTGTTTTTAAATTGCATTTATCGTTTCTAAGATGTTCTTTAATCTATTTCAGCCTTCATTCTTAAAAAAAGAAATAAGATAAAAGTTGGTCATATATTCAAAGCACACAAAAATATTCTTATAATGTGCGCTGCATACAAACGTTTGCCTCTCATCATTTTATGGCTGCTTAGCAGCAGCAGCAGCAGGCAAACAGAGGGGGGCGAAGGACGGAACAAGTTAGCAGAGAGAGAGACAGGAGCTCTCATCAGTGACAGACTCACCGGCTGCGTGGAGAGAGCCGTGGTGCAGGAAGAGGAGAAGAGGTGACACGAGAAGGAAAGGCTGGCTGTAAACTGGAAGAAACCACCCAAGAGAGAGGGAGGCAGGATAAACAGAGCGATCACAGAGGAGAGAGAAGTCATTCAGAGCAGGGAGAAGGCGAACGCTGTATCAGACAAGAACTAAGAGGGGGGGAAAGCGCATGGAGGAGCATTTCCTAACGGAGTGAGAAGCCGGAGTGTGTGCACAAAGTGGAAAACAAGAAGAATATCAGGAGGAGGAGAGTGAATCTGACCAAGGGCTTGACTGACATAACAGAAGAGGAGGGGGAACGTGAGGACAAGTTTATAGATTTCATTTGGACAGAGTATTTTTAGAAAGAAGCAAGGACATGACAGGAATACTAAGATGAGAGATGCTCTGAGTTCCACAAAAAAGAAAAAAACTAGGGGCGAAGAGAGAGGAACAGGAGACGGAGCCAAGGCGGTGAGAGATGTTGAGATCAGAGTGCCACTGAGTGGATTAGCCCTGGTCTGATTTCCCGTAGAAAACCTCTGTGCATGTCCGTGAATATGCATGAATGCCTTCTCTTAAATGTTAAAGTGTGTTATGTGTTTTCATCTGTGACAGTGGGATTTAGAAACGGATCCAAAACAACTCCTTAATAGCTAATCAAACCAGCCATGGCAGAGCACGAGGAGAACTGATAATCCACATTAGGACAGAAAAGAAATAATCCCTGAATACCTTTTAATAATTACAGCTTGTAGTACAGGAATAGGTTAATTACATTCTTAATAATAATGACTGTTACCTCTTTAAGTCTCATGAGCTTTGAAACACAAAGCTACAACTCCAAAAAAGAGAGAAGCTGGAACAAGGAAGACCACACCAACAGATACCTCTCTCCCATCATCTCATTGTTTTAATTATCTTTTTCTATATTATTTGTCGTCCACCCTGGTTGGCATTTGGTATTTTTTATTCTACTCCCTACTTTCCCTATCTTCTCCTCTTCATCTTGTTCTTTCATTTGCCTTCTCTGTCTCATCATCTCTTGTTCACTGTCACCCAAACTGCCATGGATGCTGGACTCGCTCATGTAGAAGACACCTTGCTTAGAGCACATTTGCTCTCTGATTTGTCTCGCCTTTCCCTGCTGAGTTGAATGATTGTAGCAATTCTGAGACTAGGAACGAAGACCAACAAGTAGCTGCTGAGTTATGGGAGAAAAAAAACTTTCAAATACATGGCATTGATTTGAGAGAACTGTTTTATTTGTGAAAAATTATTTTCGATTTCTGAATTGTGAATCTATGAGCAGATAAGATAGTACAACCAAATTTATATCCATGTGTGGATTACTGTAGTTGATTTCTCCTGGAGCTACATGTTGGCCCCAGCCTCTGAGGCCTGGCTAGGAAATGAAGCCTCTCCTGCGGTTGTAGGAGCATTGTGGGCAGCAATGGCCCTGCAGGGGCACTGTCTCCGGAGGGGATCCTCCGCTATGATTAGAAAGGCTCGCAGGCGACGTCATACGAAGCCAACATTGGCTCAGATCACATCCACTTTGTTGTCAAGGACACGTCTACACGGCCTGCGGCATGTTTGTGTCCCGGGGGGCTCTGTTGGCCGCCGGGCCTTCTGGCTGCTGGCTCTTTGCACCTCCCTGGGGTTGCTTTTATCCTGGTCCTCCAACCGACTCCTTCATTGGCTCTCCTTTCCAACATACACACGGGTCCACACTGAATGGGCCAAAGAACTTGCCTTTCCTGCTGTTACTATCTGCAACAACAACCCGATTCGTCTCTACAAACTTACTAAGAGCGACCTGTACTTTGCTGGCCACTGGCTTGGCCTGCTGCTGGCTAACCGGACAGTAAGACCTATGGTTCTGGACTTGATGCAGGAGGATCGTCTAGGCTGGTTCAGAAAACTTTCAGACTTCAGATTATTTCTGCCGCCAAGAAATTTTGAAGGAACCAACCTGGAATTTATGGACAGACTGAGCCACCAGCTGGATGAAATGCTTCTGTCATGCAAATACAGAGGAGAGCCCTGTGGAGCTCACAACTTCTCCTCGGTAAGCCAAACTTTGTGTTGTTTTTTTCTTTTTTTTCCTGTTATATCAGAGAAAACTTGACTGTGTACACTGAAGAGACACCCTACAAAATTTCCATTCTTTTATTTTACACTCTTCATTTTCTTTCAGTTATTAGGAAGCCAAATATTTATTACCTTAACCCAAATATCATTCAAAAGTGAAAGCTATACAGCTTATAGCAGCATGCAAAATAACTATTGCATTATGCATAAAAGGAACATTAGCTTTGATAAGGCACTAAACTGTCCCCCGGGAAAATGATAAAACTTGACACCCTTTTTAAAGCAAAAAGAGGTTTACAGTTGTCATTGATAGATATGCTCTGATATCTGTACAGCTGATCAATTGACTGTTAAATACTCTTAAAAATATAACAATTGACTTTTTTATATAGTTAATTGAGTTTGTAGACTGCCTTGCCCACTGTTTCTCAATCGACATGATACAACCTCTTTAACAACAGTTTACTCTTCTGTATTTTTGTGAGACACAAACCTAATAAGTCTATAGTAACATTATGATTGTGTGCCAAATTATTTGCTCACAAATTACTTAATCATAGTCTCTCTTGTTAATTTCTTTTTCTACTTACAGGTAATATTTCCCTTCCAGTTTCTATAGCTCAGCCTCAGTTTTTGTCTCAACTCTTATCTAAAAAATGAACTCGGTAATTAAAGCATCTTCCTTTGTTTCTAGGCACAGCAATAATCTTCAATAAACCTACATATTGCTTTGCTGAAGTCTTGCAGAGAATTGGTGAAGTACTATGCGAAGGTTGCCTGTTTACTTTTTATTTTACTTAGCAGTTTTTTTTTTTTTTTTTTTTTTACTTAGCAGTTTTAATAATGTCCTGCATCTAAACTTAGAGCTTTTCCTTTGTCATGGTATGATTCATGACATGTGTCCTATCCTGGTTTCCTGGGAGCTTTGAATGGCTCTGCCAGATTATCCAAGCAAAACACTCAGATATTTGAAAAAAACATTTATAAGGATCTAAGCACGCTTTTCAAGCCATGCACAATGAACCAGGCCCCCATTGTTTAAACCTGGGGAAACAAAACCAAACTGCACAGGTGGGTGATCGGGGTCTAGTAGGGTGTCAACAGTTTTTTCCTGACTTTAAAAATTATATTTTCATTGTGCTGGTACGTTAGTGAAATTTTGAAATAAGAAAAAAATCTTACAATGTTTCAAAATCTGGCATACATTTTAGACTTCAAACATTTCCAATGTTAACAGATTGTAAGGTTCCAAAGGAATGCACTCATAAATGTTCTTGTGATGAAAATGTCTGATTGAATTCAATTCCTTAATGCCAACATGTAATTTCACAAAAATATAATATAAAAGACGTGTTTTTCATCCCAGCTTTATCCAAAAGCTGTGAATCATCAGGTTTTACCTTGTAAATGCAGTTTTGTATACATATGATCATAATTATAAGGAGAGTTATAATAGTAAATTTAACCACAATAGTCTGTTTAAAGGTCCCAAAGCAATGTACAGCATACAAACTAATGGTTGTGTTTTGATGTTAAAATAAAACTTTAAGGTTGAAAGATTTTACCTGTAACAGATCTGTTTGGACCAATACTTTCATCAGACCCAAAAATGTCTTAAAGCAGGCATAACAATACAGATTTGCATTTACTGGTTAGAAAGGATTTATAATCTTTAAGTATCCATCTCTATTTCATTGACATGGTCAGTCTGATTTTAACCTACTGCTGTCCTGTTCACTTCTTGTCCTGCTTATATAGGCATAGTTCAGATCGGGTTCAGCACAGCATTGCACAGTAAAAAGTTCTTTAAATACATTTTATTTTTAATTAAATTTTTTTTTTTTTAGTTTTTACGGCAGTAGTGGCTCATTTTTTCTGACAGTAGACTGAAAGGAAAGGGGGTATGAGAGACGGTGAGAGACATGCGGCAAAATACCAGAGGCCGGATTCAAACCCGGGATGGCATATATGGCGTACATGGGTCGTGTGCGCTAACTACTGCGCCACCTGCATGCCAATGAATATATTTTAAATATTATTATTTCTAGGCTGAAGTACCTTGAATTTATAGCTCAGGCTTGTTTTATTTGCATTAAAATGTTTCTTTTTTTCTTTTATTGTCAAGGCTCAGAACAGGGGACACAGTTTTCAAGGCAGACAGAAAGTCGGATAATTCAAAAGCGTTTATTTTAAAACGGTGGATCTGCAGGTACAGCAAGGTAGTCAAAGGCAGGAACCTCTGGTTTTATAGTTTCCAACCATTTGGTTGACAACACCATGCGGTGAGTGCCGCCCAGATAGTCACAGAAGCTATAGTCCAAGAGGACGGAGAACAAGTATGAGATCAGATCCAAAGGCAGGCAGGAAAATCCAAAGAGAGAAACCAAAGCCGGTGTCAAGGACATGCTCAGGAATCAGAACTAGGAGATTGGAAGTCTGAAGAGGTGCCAGAGGGAAATCCAGGTTGGTGACAGGAAGCAGCTTCAAGTTCAGCAAAGAGGCAGAATCCAGCAGAAGTCCATAGACAAGTCAGGCAAACAGACTGGACAGGAACATGCAGCTGCAGTGGTGGAGAGGCAGAACAGGTCGAGAACAGGTATCAGAAACATTAAAGTAACGCCGAAGCGCTTCCCCACCGGTTTGAGAGAAATAATCTCACCCTGATGACTGGTAACAGGCAGCTTAAAGGTATAGTACACCCAAAACATGATTAGCCTTCATTTTCTACTCACCCCCATGCTGAACAACACTCTGGAGTACTTTTTTGATATCTCAAATGCATCTGGAGATCTGGGAGGCTTCTTGCTGTCTGCTGACATTCAAATAATGGAGGTCCATGGCGCCCGAGACAGAAAGGTCCATAAAAGTCCACAAAAACGTGTCAATATTCCTCCATACTGCTCGTCCAATGTAATCCAAGTGTCCTGAGTGGGTAGCATCCAGAATTTACTCGAAACGAAGTCATTTAGAATGTTTTTAGAGCATAAACAGTAGTGTATAGGATTTCCTAATAGCGCCCCCATGCGCGCTCACGACGCTACGGAAGCCGGCAGACCAAACCGGAAGAAAGTGCGCATTCAGCGTCTGGTCTGCCGATAATGCAAGCGTAGAAGAAGAAATGTGCTGTTTACCTGTGCAAAGAAAGAAACAACGAAAGAAAAATGTCTGAGGACTTCAGTGTTGAGGAAGAGCATGAGTTCTTTGCCGAGCTGAATGCGCTGGTTTGGTCTGCCGGCTTCCGTAGAATCGCGAGCGCGCATGGGGGCGCTATTAGGAAATCCTATACACTACTGTTTATGCTCTAAAAACATTCTAAATGACTTCGTTTCGAGTAAATTCTGGATGCTACCCACTCAGGACACTTGGATTACATTGGACGAGCAGTATGGAGGAATATTGACACGTTTTTGTGGACTTTTATGGACCTTTCTGTCTCGGGCGCCATGGACCTCCATTATTTGAATGTCAGCAGACAGCAAGAAGCCTCCCAGATCTCCAGATGCATTTGAGATATCAAAAAAGTACTCCAGAGTGTTGTTCAGCATGGAGGTGAGTAGAAAATGAAGGCTAATCATGTTTTGGGTGTACTATTCCTTTAAATAGAGGCAGGAGCAGGTGGATCAAATGAGCAGTAATGAAAATGGGCGTAGTTAGGCAGGTGAATGAAATGAGTAATCCAGCCAGCGATCAGCCCCAGGATCATGACATTTATTGGTCAAATGGTAAATGCACTTTATCATAGGTAACATAACAGGCAATGGAAAAACTTGTCAGGATGTAAAGATCTTTAATGAAAAAGTCTTATTGCAGTTAAGGTAATTACTAAAAACATCTGCACAGATAAAATATCTAGGCTATTTGTTTTAGTTGCAAAAAATAAACACTGTATTGAAACAATAATAAATAGCTTTCCCAAGACTTTAAGTCTTGTGCAAAACACATGGTCCTGATTACCGTCTGATTACAGCGTTCAGTGAAACCTAAAAATAATTTTTATCTTTTCTATAAAAACTGTTATACTGTGTACAACCCAATTTTCAGAACTGGTCAGTACTTGTCGGATGAAAGTCTATGATTTCTTTTCTAGCTGTATGAGTTCTTTTTTTCCAGTTCAAGTGGAAGGTCCTGCTGTTTCTGTCCTTTTTGTCTTGTCTTTTTGCCATAACAGAAATGCAAGCAGACGGCCAAGTGAAAATAACAAACAATTTCGGAGTGGATGGGAGAGATTCTTTCTTGCTTACTTGAATTCAGACCCTTGTATTAGTGCCACATCAGTAGGACTGTGTTATATTTTTTGTTAGCTCACTTGTCACTAGTCACCATCTGTGTCGAGGAGAACCACTCAGTGAAGTGGATTCTGATGGACAGATTTTGATTGCAGAGCCTGTGTTTTCTTGTGAGCTAAGAATGTGAAGTGTACTGTATGTGTTGAATGTAGGACTGTGTGTGTTTCCCTGTTCGAATACATTTACACGCTTATGCGTGAACACTGTACAGATGGATCAAGCTGCTGATGGAGAGGATGTTCGCTAAAGGCAACTGCTGTGCAAACCTAAAAATTCAATCTTTCTCATCTTTTGAAAACAACAGCCAGACCGCCGTAATCATGAGGGTCAGTGCTGTTCTACTTTTGCAACCCCCCTACATGTACAAATTAATAATTCTTTGTGAAATAGATTCTATTCTAAGCACAAATTTCCTTCATTTTATCACATGGATCATTTCTTGGTTATATTTAGGTTCATTGGAGCAACATCTTTTTATCAGGGCTTCCTTCTTTCTTGCCTTGTTTCACCTTAAATGGGGATCTTCTGTTGTTGAAATAGGGCCTCAGTGGTTTCACTAATCTCATTATCATCCTGCTGCAAGTCAGAAAAGACTCCCCAAGGCCCTTTCAGTATCACTGTCACTCTGAGACCTAAACAGAACAGCCAAATTAAATGAGATGCGAAGAACACAGGTGCAAAGGTGTGGAAG